ATTGTTACAATAGCAGTTGAAAAATATTAAAAATACATAGGCACAGTTTTTTTTTTATAAGCATTTAAAGTTGGAATTTTGACAAAATTTATCAAAATCTCGAAAATTATCAATCATTGTAATTAATGAATTATAAAATGTTCAGTTTTTATAGCTAAGGATTACAAATTAAACACAAAGGTTCTCATAAATAGTTCATACTATAACCAAATAATCTAAAAAATATATGAACACAGTTTTTTTTTACAGACATTTTAAATTCAAATTTGGACTAAAATACATTAAGAAAAACCTAGAATAACTATTTTAGTTATTTTGTTGTGATTGAATAATATTATTCGTGGATACTTGAAACTTCTAAAGTGTACTATTATATACCTATGATAGTATCATGGTTTTTTTTGATATATAACGCGTTATAAGTACCTAATGGATATTTTTATATGATTAATTTTGGAATTTATTATAGGTACCTACCTATTATAGGTCAAATTTTGGTTTAGTACCATAGATATGTATAATGTATCTAATAACGCTTATACCTAGACTGACATACTGTCTCCGCTCAGAATCGTTTTTCTTATACAATGATATTATATCGTTGAATTCAAATTTAATATCATTCATTATACAGTGACCCACTTGTAACCTACTGTACAGCAGAGAGACACCCACTTGCCCACCTTTTTAAACTTTAAATTTGATAAATGTTGTGAAAAATCAAACTTTAAATGCTTATAAAAAAAACTTGTGACTATATATTTTTTATATTTCTCAAATGCTATTCAAGCAATTATTGGCCTAACATTTTTGGCCTAACAAATACAATTTTATTGAAAAAAAAAATTAAAAAAAATTGAAATTTGAAATTGTCTGTAAACAGCTAAAAACAAGTCGAAATATTTTGAAAATGTTATTGAGTTAGGAATTGATAAAATAAATATATGATATAAATCTCAAGTGTCTGTGGTTATTCGTTTTTGAATTACAACAAAATAAGAAAATCGCTACATGAGAAATTGAGTGAATATCCAATGTTGTAAAAATTTCAAACTTCAAAAGTTAAAACAATCATAAAAATTTAATTTGACTTTCAAATGGATATTTATTTTTTTTTTGATAAATGTAGATAACCTTATTAGGAATTTTGTATTACATTTTAAAATCTTAGATTTAACAAGAAAAAACGTTATGAATTTCTAACTCAAAATAATTTGCACATTTTCGTGATTTTTATTTTACGCTTTTTGTCAAAATTCGAACTTTAAATGCTTATAAAAAAAAATTGAGACTACGGGTTTTAAATATTTTTCAAATGGCATTGTAACAAAAGGTATACTAAGAGCCTTGAATTAAATTTCCATGGTTTTGTTACCTAACAAATAAAGTTTTATTGGCATTTATACAAAAAAATACTAAAAAAATTGGAAACCGAAAATGCCCGTAAACAGTTCAAATAAATCCAATTATTTTGAAAATTTTATAGTGTATATAAAATATTAAAATGCTAATATAAACAACCGGTGAAAATCCCAAGTATCTACGGTAATTTGTTTTAGAGTTACAATAAAAACCAAAATCGATTTTGTCCAAAACCGATTTAGTGTAAAAGTTCCCAGTTTCCCTTAATTTTTTTTGTTTTTCTCGGTGCTTGGAACACTTATATAGAAATATTGGATTTTGACCTCCCCAATGCACCAATTACATTTACTTTCTTATTGAACAAGACAGTTGCGTCCGCAGGGGGGAGGGCTAACGGGCTGAAGCCTCAAGCCCCCCCCCCCCCCATTGCCCGTATTATTATTACTTTTTCAAAAAAATATTAATCAAGTTTAAACTGTTAATTATAGTAAGCAAGACGTAAATTTCATACATATCTTACCAGAATGAATTCATTTTTGAAAAAACATTGTATTTGCATACCAATTTTCATAAATTACCTGTAATTTTTCGGTAAAAGTATGAACTACTAGTATGAAAGACCTTGTACCTATTAAATTGTCTAGCCTTAGGTTTATACATATCTTATATTTTATAAGTTTTGAACTACAAATTAACTGTGGTTTTGACGAAATTTGAACTTTAAAATAAGCTTATAAAAAATAACCATGATGAATATGTGTTGTTAATATTTTAGCTATAATAAAAAAAACCTACGTATTACATTTTTAAGCTTTTTGACCGGATTAATAATTTTTTATTGACATTTATAGAAAAAAAATTTTAATTCATCAAATACAATCCAAGTGAAGACGGTATAACCAGGTTTGTTACCAAACAATTTAAATACCTTTTAATTTTTATTTTCTCCAATTATTATTCTTAAAAGCACTGAGCATTTTCAATTTTGACCTCCTAAAAGTAGATATCAACTAGATCCAATTTGCTTCCAAAAACATACTACACGTCTACACTGGGCATCGAAACTTATGATCAGAGCATTTTTTCTACCAGAAAAGTTGAATAATTACAAACATTTTAAAATACCTCAAATAAACGTCTGAAATTATTAGACTGCACAAAATAAAAATAAAATTGTAACTGATTTTCAAGCCCCCTCCCCATTGAAAAATCCTGCAGACGCCACTGGAACAAGATACTGAAGTTGAAAACACTACAAAGACTCAAATTTTTTTTTATCAATTTAATTTACTAGCTGATTAACTTGGACTTTGGCCATGTGCACAGTGCAGTTTTTTGTGTTATAACTTTTTTTCTTTAGTATTTATAATATTACATGTAGATATTGCCTTTAGGTACAGCATTATTATTATTATTATTATTTATTAGACCACCTTGATTTATTAAAAATAGTCGTTTCTATTGACTATTGTGTATATTTTGTACTCTTTTAAAAAGTTAAAATGTCTTGTGAAGTCGTTGTAACATTATTATGTTATGACATTGATTAGATAAATAATAGTAGGTATTTATAGTTTATACCTTCCGAAAAATCCGAACAAGAAATTACGTTTTAAATTTTTACAATTTGTGGAAATCCTATTTTAGTGCACCCCTACGTTGTGGTACCATAATAAATTAAAGTCTCCAGCCATCATATTTTACTATTTTAGTATAGTTTACCTACTCAGTTTAGGCTCTACACGTTGATCAATCGATCTAAAAATCACTTTCAGTTTAGATTTTTTTCGAATATTCCAATTTTTTGATTTTTCTTTCCGTAAAATCTGTATTCGGACTATTATAAACATTAAAAAAAAATTAGCCTAATCGGTCCAGTCGTTCTGAACTTCTGAATGTCCAATGGGCAGCATTTTATTAAATATAAATATAATATCTGGTATAATTAAATTGCCAACATAATATAGGCATGCTCATAATATTATTCTATTATATTATAATTTATAATACTTATTAATACATAATATTATATTATATTAGGTAATCTATTATTAGTCGGGTGGTATTTAATGTTAAAACTTAAAACCATATAAAAATAGATATATTTAATAGATCTATTTTGTCATGGTTAAAACAACGGGTTTTCCATGTGAGGGCGTGCGCGTGCAGCACTGCGGACTTTCTGTTCACTACCTAATAATAATAATAATAGATTTTTCTCCGACCAGTTAGTACTCACTACTCAGTACTCACCAGTCACCACTGTTCGTGTTCTTATTATTTTAAATTTTTGTTGATCTTATTCATTTTCTTATCGTCTTCATAATAGTATGATAGCAGCACAGACTTCTATAATCTATACTACACTATAGAAATCTGTGGATAGCAGATACCTATTTTATACTTTTATACTTTATAGGTCTATGGCAATTACACGTGTAATTCATACGTGTAATACGTACCTACTATATTGTGATATATTCAATGCCTATACCTATTACAGTTTCATAGTATATTGTATATTTGTATAATTATTTATTGTGTGCCTGTGGTTATTATTTATATTAGACATTACAGTCTCGCGGTTGTATTTATAATATTTTAGTGCGGTGTAGGTATTGTGTATTCTATAAATTGTATAATTGTGCAATGGAATTTATTAGGAATATAATTCTTTCAAGTTTTTACAAACAATAATTACCTATCACTACAATTAATTGGACTTCCTAAATGTTTTACACAAGGTAAGAAAATATTTTTAATTGTCTCTTATAAGTGACTTGTAACAACCGAAAATAAATTGTTGAATCATCAAAAAACGAAACTATCATGGTATTTCGGGTTAATTACAGAATATGATCCGTGTATTTCGGCGCTCATCAAGAGGCAAGCAAATAAATCCAGTGGTCACAGATCATACATATTAATATAGTATCTTTCATCAACAATATGTGAATAACTGATCAGTCTTATGTCTGTGAAGCACCCAATGGAGATTAAAAATAGTATCTATATAGGTATCTGGATACTTATTATACTAAAAAAAGGTTAGTTTAAGTAATTACTTAAGAACTCATTAGAGTTCATTAGATTACAATTTATATTAGGTACCTAGGTATAAAATGTGAAAAAATATTTGGTTTGTGTGAAATAATTATTACCTATAGAGATTATTGAAGACTGTATAATATTTATTTAAATAGGTACCTGTTTCTTTGTATTAAAGTATACAATATTATTTAGAATACACTTTTTGAAAAAGTTTTAAATCAATTAGTCTAATAAATACCCATTTATTTATTTGATTGAGTATTGTTGATACAATTTAAAAGTAATCTTTACAAATACCTAGGTGTAGGTTCCTATTTGTACACTACTCTTATAATAACTAGCTATTTATTTTCATTTAATAAATTAATACTTTTATTATTAATCACATATTCTGAATATGATATTCACATCACCTATACTATAAAAATATAAAATGTATAATTTTAATAACAAAAAACTATAGGTATTAATAGGTACATATTATAGGCATGATAAAAAAAAAATATATAGGTATTAATAAGTACATATTATAGGTATGAAAAAAAAATGTATAATATATATGATAATATTATAAGAGTTAAAAGAGTTTATACAATGAAAATACGCTGATAAGTGACGTTTTCACAGCGACACATAGGGCAACTTGCTGCTATTTGAGTTTGCAGTTGTTCGACACAAACTCCACAAATCCAGGCGTGCCCACATGGAAGAACTATAAATTTGTCAGGTGTTTCTTCAATAGTCCTTGTTAGACAAGTCATGCAGAGAAGTGGATTTGGGTCATGGGGTGGTGGCTGATTATTTATTTCTTCAGGTTCATTATTCTGAATTTCTTCGCCTTGATTTTCTATTATTTCATGTTCTGGTTCGTCCCTACCAACACCAAGAGCCCAGTTTCTCTGCCTCAGCTCGTAAGAAGCTGATAAATAAGAACACTTCTTTATGTATTCCCATATTGTGATTAGTCCCAAGTTGTACTGATCAGTGGCATGTTTAATATTTCTTGAGTTTTGTAAAAAATTGGCTCTTAAATTTCGTGTTGGTTGTAAATTGTTTCCTAATTGACCAACTACTGTGTGATATTTTTTGCTTAAATCGCACAAATGACCTGAAGTTAAAATATAATTCCAATAATTAATACATTTGAATAGGTAGGTAACTTAAGTAGTGTAGACAAACTAAAGGCCAGTGGTTAGGTAGGTAACAATATTATAATATGCTATATTTGTTTTTTCTTATTGGATGTGTATGTTTTTTTAAATATAATATGAAATTGTGTATTTTTGTGTAAGTTATACTAATTTTTTTAAGGATATATTTATAAGATCATAAGTCACTTATTTTCACTTTTTTAAACTTTATGAAACAAATAAATTATGTGTAACAATAAGTGTGCCATATTATGCAAAAAATAATAATAATAAATTTAATTTAAAATGTATTACTTACCAAGAAAGATCCACAGATTGGGATGTGCAACTGAAAATTTCAACCGCAACGCATTGTGGAAACTTTCTAAGTTATTATTTGTTCTTCTCGGGAGTCTATGTACAGACACTATGTCTGGTCCTACCCTTTGTAACCAATATCTATATAATATAATAAATTACTTTAAACATTAATACTAGTAAACAATCGGTTTTTAATCAAATTATAATTATATTTATATTATTTCATAATTTATATTGCTTAACAACTGTTGTAATACCTCTTGCCTACATTGTAGATATGATGGTAATAGTATAAACTTTAAAATTATTATTTTTAATTAATTAGATACATACATATCATTATAAAAATAATTGTGAAAGGAATAAGTTCCTGCAGTCATTCTTTGACATAGTTCTTAAATGAAATGCATGTTATAATAAAAATATTTTTTTACTTTCTTAAAAAAGTTGGATTTATTTCAAGTGTTAATAATTTTATTAGGTAATTTATTAAGACTAGTTAATTCATATTACTAAGAAGTACTCAGATAATATACCAAAATATAACTTAATAACTTGTATATAATTAATATAAAGTAATTGATTAACAATGTTATGTTCACAGTTCACACTTACCGGTTATAGTAATCAAAAAGGTTATCCATATGCACACCATGGTTTGCTGCAAAAGCTCTTATTAAAGCAAAACCTCTTTCCATTCCTCTTGCTGGTAATAGAGGCAAAGAGAATAGCATTTTCAATGATTCCAATGCAAATGGATTGGTGTTTACATGTTGTAGGTAACCTCTTGACTTCATATTCTTCCATACAGCCTTAAGTTTATAACAGTACTTTAGTAAAATACATTCTAAGAAACAACTCATTTTTAAACCAGCTTTGATTTAATTACAGACTGAACCACAAACTACCTGGTTATGATGAAACCAACACCCATGTGCTTGGGCTCCAGGAAATTGAGACACCAAAGCATCCCTTAGTGCGGGTTCATAATCAGTGATGATTGTGCTCGGTGTTAAATTAGGTATCAAATTATTTTTTACAAAAGCCAGAACACAATCATACGAGTCTCGACATTTGGACTCCATCAATACATATATGATTGGTATAGACTGAAAAATATTAAATCCCAATATATATTAGAATATTTATATTATCATACTGTCAAAAATAATCTTCACTCTAATTTAATACTAGGTAGCTTTCAAATTTCAATGTTCTTTGTATACATAGCAAACAAAACAATCTACTTTCTTATACAATAGGACCGAAAACATATAGGTAGTATGATTCTTATTCCCATTTAACATAAGACTAAAGACACTCATTAATTCTAAAACTTTTAACATTTTTAAAATTTTTTTTATTACTTTGATATACACTAGAATTGAATTTCAGACGAGTACCTATTTTATGAGTTCTGAGTATTTATAGTTTTAAATCATTAACTAGGTACTTGCCCAAAAATTGATTTTTATAAATAAAAATAAGTTCTTCAAATAATGATCTGCTTTAGCATTTAAAGTTAAAAATGAACCTTTCGTTCTAAAGAGTAAAACAATTTTAAAATTATAAGAAAAAAAAATAGCCAAGAATATTGTTTTGGTACAATTTACAATTATGTAAGACAAAGATTTTCAAAAACGTTAGTGTTTTATGAAATAATGAGTGCAGCATGTTAAAGGAAGCGCTATGTTGATGTTAAAAATTGTAATTCTATTATGACTTTTAAAAACAAAATTTGAATTTGGTTACTTAAATAAAAAAACATTAAAATAATGCATTTTATCCTGTTGATTGTTTAAAATAAGTATTTTAATGTATTACTATTGTTACAATTTTATTTTTGTAAGTATTGTATACTGTATAGTCATTACAATATTTGAATACATATTTTATTGCAACTTTTTAACTCATGGACTTTCACATGAACTTGTTCGGTGGGGATCATTATCTTCTTAAATATATACATGAGTGGCGTCATTGGGAGAGGGCATCTGGGGCATTTGCCCTAGTCTAGTATTTACATTAACCTTAAGTCGACACATTAACCGTCCATACGCCCCCCACCTTCCGAGTTTACCACTATGGCACTATGCTATGAGAATCTGAGTGAAAAAAATGTTGAGTCGGAAAAGTAGTGAAAAATTGCCCTAGTCTAATAAAAACTGAAATTACGCCTTTGTTATACATATATAATTTTATTTTATGTTAATTGATAAACAAAAATATACTTACATAGTTTTGTATCATACAATGTATGCTTAAAAGCTGTGTTCCTAAATTTCTGGGCACTATTTTAAATGTTGCGTCAGCGTGTATTTCGTCAATATTATTTTCCTGTACTGCACGAATTAGAAGTGGACAAGCAAATATGACACTTCTATTACCAAGAGCATCAGTTACACTACCTCTAAACATAGAACTGGTGCAGCATAGAAATCTGGGGATTGGTTCATTATCAAAATATGCAGCTAGTTCATTCAACGATGTTGGTGTCCGAGGCAAAGAATTTCGACGTGCATGTCGCATTATACTTTCTGCAGTTTTCCAAGGGTATAATGCTGCAGCAACATTATGCCTGTATATTTAATTGATATAAAAATATTAATTTAAATTTTGATTATTACCGCAACTAAAAATGTATTTAAAATAATATGTTATATTACCGTTGACACTCTTCATCATATATATTTTTAAGAAGCTGGTTTTCATTTTTAGCCCTAATCTTGAGGACGTCTCTAAAAGCATTAACCAACTCAACATTATCTTGGCCATTGTGGTTATTATGTTCTTTAACAATTATAATTGAGCCATCTTCTAACTTTTTAATTGACCCATCACAGAAATACAAAGATGCTTTTGAGCATTTGTAATAACTAAAATTATAGATAAGTGTTATTTAAAAAAAAAAAAATTAAATTAATAGGTACATTTCCCTCCGTTGACCGTTCAGAATTTTAAAGTATGTATAAATATAATAGGTATAATAATATAATATTTGATTAAAATTAATAATTTACTTTTTATAATAATTAAATTATTATTATTACTAGGCGTATTGCAATTGCATACTTATAAGAAACCGTCGGCTTCAAAAGTAGCAATAATTTATATCTATTATCTATTTCATAAATATTTAATAATCCACAGTAAAAATATATTATATTTCTATTATTTTTATTTACAATTTTGAGTAAGTACCTAATATAAAATTTCAATATTTTTAAAATTATAAATGAAAAATGTTCAATATATTATATTAAATTATTTGTTTGTTTATTAAAATTCATAAAAGTTATTTCGGTAATTTTCGACTTTCGCGTATTATTCGTTGGTTGGTACATTATACATACATATTTTAAAAAAAGAAAAAGGAATTATTTTATTAATTTATTATATTCTTGTATGGAATTGTAAGGGCTGGCTTGAAGGCGGTTCGAGGTGTGCAGCGGCACAGGACCCCGGCACCCCGCGCATTGAAAGGCCCCGCGGTCCGCGTTTTGATGAAAAATAAATTATCGGATATTAATTTAATACGGATTAAAAACAGATGGGTTTGAACACCATATCGCTATTCGTCTATAAACGTATACGTTTTTACCATGGTGTATCAACACACCATGGTCTTTACTCGTTACCCGTCCTTCGTAAACGCCGGATAGGTACCTATAGTATGGGCAGTGTGGGCTCGACCCATTTGTACCCGTGAATACGACACGTATGACAGAGACAAAACGCGTGTTTACACAGTCTGAGTAGAAATCGCTCAATTTTGGTTCTAGAGTAAAAGTACCTATTGTAAAATAGAATTTTGGAAATATTACTGAGGCCAAGGCGGTACGTTTTTCTCATTATTCCCAATATAACGTTCATTATATCGTTTAAAAATATCGAAGATCTAAACATTTTTGAAATGACCTTTTCAAAATAAATAACTTTTTTTTTTAAAACTCACCTTCTTGCCCTCCAAAAATTGTCATATTTTAATTTTGTAATAGGTGTTTGTATTCCAACACCAAAATTGAGCGAGTTATACTCGGACTACATTTTCCTCATATGGGTCCATAGTAAAGTTCACGTAACCGTGTATTCAACTAATGATTTATATTCACAGTAGGCTTAAAATCCCTGAGGTTCCAAATAAATAAATAACGGCTAACAACACGCCTGCGTCACAGTGTTAGAGTATTTTTACATTTTTAAATAAAATAAATTGTTTGAGTTTTAAACAGTTAAAAACCATGTCTTGAACAGTTATAAAATATAGTATATTTAAAATAACTTAATTTAAATTTAATATTATGTAATATACTTATATGCCAATATGGTGTGTAGCCGTGTAGGTACTAGTATATAATAATTATGTTTCACTGTTTATTCATTACTTATTTGGATGTTTTATGTGTATATTATATTTTGTATATATTAGTTATTAAGTAAAAACATTTTAAATTTGATAATTTATTCAATAAAATTAAAAAATTAAATCTAAAAGAAAAATAGTAAAAGTTCATAATAGTACTTACCGAATTCCGTTGCGCTTCCCATTACTACTATATTTATATCCATCGTGCAACATGATGACAGAAAAATGTAAGTAAGTAATAAGCTTGGAAAGAAAAAATATCAAATTTTTAAACTATAAAATAAGGTTCACTTATCGTTGGTATTCACTTTACGTCTTTCGTCTACACAGGTGAATATCCAAAAGCGAAATGAACACTGCTTACTGGTCACAGGCCTATTCGAGACACTCGAGGAGCGATTATTCTAAGAAAATAGGAATAAATACGTGGTACATTCTTGACATCAATATTACCCAGAACATTTTGGGTGTTTTGATCAATATATGACTAAAGGTAGGCACGTGTATAGTGGTCGCGCGTGCATATAATATTTTCAAGGAAAGTTCAACGCTCGACCGATTTCCATGAACATTTGGTTCTTAAGCCATCTGATCTCCCTGCAACACCGCGTGGCTCGCCACTGTAGCCGATCTATCCTAATACCGTAGGAAATATTTTTCGATAAATCGATTTAAGCTGTCGCTAAACTGAATGGACTGTGCAGGGCGTTAAGAGTAGATGAGTACCCAAATGCTAAGACACGCTATGCCGGGTTTCAAGGTGCTGACAAAATAATTTGTTTTTACAGTGTAAATTACTGGGAGCTTCATTTCACATGTGGTTATTGTTTACTGCAACAATAATTAGAGTGTGGTATAAGGCGATAATAGGCAGTAAGCCGACTTTTGCTCCTATATACTGCATATTAGCAGGGCTATATTAACCTAGATGCAATTGAAGCATTTGCTCCAGGTGGCCAAATTTTAGCTTCCCATCTAAAAATAAAATGTTACGGTATATTTCTGTTTTATCAGACATACTTTTTTTTCAATTTCTTAAAAAACAAGGGTATCTGGTAGACCAGAAAAGTTCCCTTGAAATAGGTACCTATAGTTACGTTTAATTATCGTAAAAATGTAAAGAATAAGGATTTGGTAGTTTCGGTAGGTAGGTACCTATATCAAAAAGAGTAGAAAGAAGAAAAAGTTATAGCGCAGATATTTCAATTAGACGCCATTTTTAATAAGGTAGATTTTTGAAATATTATGTAGGTAGGTACATAATGATAAAAATATCTTTTAAATACCGTAACCGTCTTCCATTATAATAGTTGGACAGTATTGGAATAAATGGTTGTTGAATTGTATAATTTAGATTTAGAAACAGATTTTGAGGAATAATTAATACAATTTAAAAGAATAATTATTAAAGATTTACCATCAGAGGGAAAATTATCATTTGCTTCATTACATATTTACATACCTACAACACCTATGTTTTAAAAACATCCTTTTCGACTATAGAAATAATGTTAAGAAATATTTGTACTCTACCTTCTTCAAATGCAAGTGGTGAAACATCGTTTTAAATTTTAAAAAATGGTCAAATTGTTTCGATATTATATGTATTCACAGACAGGAATTTAATATTGGGGGGGGGGTATAAATACATTTATATACTTTCCATTATTTAAAGTGGATTGAACACCTCATGTCTATGGACCCGTGTATTAAATGTGATTTGGTTAGGTAAAGGGGTGAAGTAGTATTGAAGCGGAAATAAGTAATACACAAATTCACTACGATGAAATCCAGAAAAAATAAATATTTAAATACTTATAGAATTCTTTCTTCTTTTTTTTTTCAACTTCAAATATTAGAATTGTAATTATTTAACTTATTAAAGTTAACTAAATAGTTACTTCTATTATATTATCAATTTGATTTAAATCGCATTTTATAAATTATTTATTATTGGTGTATGTATATAATATATATATTTATATATGTATATAATATATAATATATTTATATATGTTATATGTATACCTAATACCTATACTTAAATAAGTCTAACTACTACAAAAATTTATCTGCTGGCAGGCACGGCACTAGAATTTTTTTCCAGGGGGGGCAGAGTGGGACAAATATTTTTTTTACATGGGCTAAAATTGTTTCAACAAATGCTGAGGTTATTTAAATGAAATATAAATATTTTCGTATCATATAACATAATATAGTTATTAGCTATATAGTACATACGTTTTAATCGTTTTATATTGTATGCTCTAAACGTCTAAACATATAATATTTACAAACTTTTGAATAGTTAAAAATGTTTTAAGAATAATATCAAATATTTTTTTTGTACCTTATGTAATATGTAAGAAAATGTTTAATCACAGACCTAAGACCTTCAACAACTATATTCATAATGATAATATGATATACAAAAATAATAATTTCTTTATGAGCTAAATATTGATTTTTTATAGAATATCTCTTTATGCACCATACAGTAAATGATTGAAAATCTTTTAATATTGAAAAAGTTAACAAAAATGTATACAATTGCACTGATATCAGTATGAATACAATTTGTTTTAAATAAAAACTTTTGATTACCTACCTTATATTTAACTAGTACATTTTAAATTTTTAATTCAATACATTTTTAAATTGGTATTTGCATAGTAGTGTATGTATTGACTATTGAAGTACCTACTTTATATTTTTTGTTAAATTTTGGAGGTTAAAATAGTTCATATATATACAACATAGATACTTTAAGAAATATTTTTTTATTAATTATCAAGTAATATGTGAACTAATTACCATGACAAATAAGATTATAAAAATAACAAAATAAGAAAATTGAATAAATTATTTAATTATTTGAAATAAGAAATTTGTCATGCTAATTACTAAACTAATATAAGTAGGTAGGTACGAATACCAACTCCTTACACAATAGTATTGTGTTAATCAAACATAAACATATTTAAAATAATAAGTCAACTAAAAATATTTTTAACTGTATACAACAAACATTAATTATATCGTACATATTTTTCAGTGGGGGGGCTGGCGAGGGGGCTGATCTGTTTTCTGGGGGGGCTAGAGCCCCACCTTGCCCCCCCCCCCTTGGCGCTGTGCCTGTCTGCTGGTGATGGGGGAGTGGTAAAATCTGTTTGCTCCATTGCGACATTGGCCCTGAACCCGGATCTACATATTATGTCTTATGTGCATTATACCCATAGTAGTAGTTATTACTATTTATAGTTTGCACTAAGTGTCAGTAGACTGTAGGAATATTGTTGTGGTGCTGTTGTGTGGGTCGTTATGGTATAAATGGATCATTCGTGTCTTAAATACGGGTACCTACAGGTATAGATAGAGAGTGTAGTATTAAATAAATTATAGAAATATTATAACATTAGAAAATATAGAAGAATCTCTCTTGAATAATTGTTATTCAAAATGACCCAGTGCTGCAAATCCTCGTGTGCAGGGCAAGATACCTGCCCTTCTCCCCACCAAAAATTGGTATGTAGATTGGTATCCTATGTTTTGTATTGTGTATTGTGTAAATAGTGGATCCCAGTAGCTGGTAAAGGTTATATAATTTTATTACACTGGCTATTTATTTTATACTAGCATTTTCAATACACTATAAAATTATCAAAATATTTTTGTTATTAAATTGTTAGACATTTTAAATTTCCAATTGTATTAGTTTTTTTTTCTATGAATATCAATACAATTTTATTTGTTTGGTAAAAAAGATTGAACATTTAATACAAGGCTCCTAATATATTGTTATAATGACTTTTTTTTTTATATAAATTTACAATCTATACGATAAGTACAATAAGTAAATGTGCTGTAAGATAAATAGCTTGGGTCGCGTGATTAGGGAAGATACCCAGTGGTATCACCCTATATATTAATATACCTGATAGGTTTAATGCAGAATTAAACATTTTAATAGTAACAGATTATTGTTATCTTATATTTACTATCTCCAAGTGGAGTGTAAATGTGAGATAAATTATAATGAGCAATAAGTGGTATGACGGAGATAATTATTGAGAAAAAGTACCTTTAGCAATCAGCGAATTAAGTACAGAGGAGAGGAGGGAGATTAGGGGATTGATTAGTGAGCTCAAATTAGAAATGAAACTTGATAAAATTTCGCCAAGTTGATCGGAATGTGGACGAAATTACAAAGAATAACGATTTTAGTTATTTTGTTGTAATTTTATAATATTAATTCAACTTACCGGCTACCGTATGAATAATAAGCAACAAACTAACAACAATATACATAAATATGTAGAATATAAAATCCACACTAACAAACCATCTCGGCTCAGAATCGTTTTTCGTACCTGTACAATGATATTATACCATCCGTTATTCCTTTAAACAATGACCCACTGGTAACCTTCTGTACAACAGAGCGACATCCACTTACCCGCTTTTTTAACCTTATAATTAATGATCAGAACCTGATTTTCATGTTCTACGCGTTAATTGTATAGAGCATTTTACACCATACCTATATCACTTGGTATTTTGGTGTAACTATCAAAATGTCCACATTTTTTTTTTGTCAAAGTAAGAGAATTTTTAGTTGAGTAAAGTCCACAGTAAAAGAATAAAAAACTAAATAAATTGTAAATTTTATTTTTTTATGCGATTAATATTAAAACTAAAATAGAAACTAATATATACACTTAAACGAATAGGTATTTGATTTTAAACACAGATACTTTGAGAAAATATTTGAAATACTTTGTTCAATTACTTTTTAAAAAGTATTTAAAATACTTATCGACATTCATTATAATACTAGTATTTATAATCAATGGTATTGAGTACCTACTAAAAAATATTTGAACACTTTTACTCAAGTACTTTACAAAACTGGGTGCAGGCTCTTAAATTAGGAAATTATTAACAGGTTTTCCCCTGTATAAATACAATTATTTGTGCTAATGTAAATGCACCCGGAGAAGCTAAAAAACTAGCAGAGTAAGTTACAATATGTATGAAATTAAATTAATTTCATACCTACATATTTTTAATTTAATTAATCGTAGAAAAATCAGATCGCAGATGCATACACAGATCGTATTAGAATTTCTTTGTCATTGACACGCGCCATCGTACGACTGCAAAACCCAAATCACAATTATTAGAAATAGAATCTAAGTCAAACAACCGAATTC